GTCAGTGGTATACCGAGTGGTAACAAATCGATAAAGACGACATATCCTCACATGTGAAGATATGATATCCTCACATAAGAAGATATCATTTTTGAAAAAATGATCTTTGTCCCTTTTAACTACACTTAAATTTATTGGTATATGATCGAAACATCCTCGGATCTCCTTCGGTCGTCTTCGGCAATCTTCGGCAATCTTCGGAAAATCTCCGGAAATGTTCGGAAACATTCGTCTGACCTTCGGAGGAAAGTGGTCGGAAATCTTCGGAAAATCGTCACATTTTATATAATAAAAAAAAATTAAATGGCTGCGCGGAGATACGAAATTTATCTTCTCGTGTAGAAAAATATTTCAACACTCGACGATAAATTTCTTCTCTCCGCGCGGCCATGTAATATCCTCTATATCTTTACCATCCCCTCCATCTGAGATCCAATTGAAAAATAAAACAGAGACTGGCGACGGCTCAGGATACACATTGGAGCTCACGGACACATATCACATTGATTTATTGAATTATTTCCATGCAGAGGAAACTGACTTTTTTTCCCCATTACAATAGTGGTAGAAATCATTGAATTCTTAATTCAATCGATATTAATCAAGCTCACAAAGTTTTACTACTATTCTCTCAAGGATAAAATTATTCCCATTTCATCAGACGAGGAAAGTTTCTGTTTCGAGTGTTCGGCAGTGATAAGCGATGGAGATCTTGGTCTGATGGACCATTTAAAGAAAGAGCATTGGTCTTCCGAGCCGAGATTTCATGTTTCCAGCAGTATACAAAGAAATGTTTCCTTCCTGTCTTTACTTTCATTTCCTCTTTTTCTCTGGTGGATGTATGCGTGTGTGTGTTCTTATTTTTATTTTGGAGGGGGGGGGTTGGGCAGGGTGGTTATTCCAAGATTATATCTGTAATTTTTGCTGCGTGCTTAATGGTTTTTAAATTCGATTCGTCTTTCGCGTAATAAGAGAAGTGTCAGTCTGCGTTTTCTATTGTATGTAGCTTCTTTAGGCTCTTTAAATAAGTTATATATTTGTTATTGTTATTGACAACTCAGGAATCATCGTCTTTAAGTTCTGAAGATATGGAGGAGAAAGAATTTAATAAGCGTAGAGATTGTGGCAAGTCCTTTTCAGCAAAGAGCAACTTAAGAAAGCACAAACGATTGGGTCGCTGTAAAGGGACCTCACAGGAACACGAAAGGTAAGAACTATACCACGAGGTAATAGTAATAATAGCAGTTATTATTATTATAATTATAATCATAATAATGATTAATTATAATAATAATAATTAATGGTATGGGTCTTTATAGCTCAATTGGTAGAGCAAATGTGTCTTGCCCTCAACTGAATTCCAAAAATAATGGTCTACTAGGTTTGTTATTTAAGAGTATATTATGACGTCCAATCTGTTTCCTGACGTTTTTTGCTACGGATGGCAAGGATGGAAATGGATTGAAACTTGAAAGTTGGGCCAACCTTTTCAAGTTTTGATGCTATCTCAACAAAAAATAACAAAAACGTTATTATGGGTTGCTCTTTTTGATACAATTCATTAGATATCCATCTCATAAAACCACTAAGTAACGATTTTAGCGAAGAATTGATCCAAAACAACAAAATCTTCATAACATAGCCCCTTTAAATTGCATTTACCTCTTCGATGATCATATCTTCATTTAAATAGTAATATTGTGCAGCCCACCACTGTTGTGGTCGTTACATATGTCCTCAGTATCGATTTCGTTCATTAAAAGCGAACATTTATTTAATTCTAGGGCATTTCACATAGCACCAAAACGTCGTCAAGAGAAAGACAACTTGGACATTCCTGTTGATATGTAAGTTCCTATATGGTTCAATTGTCGGCGATAATTATTTTATAGCTTATTGAGATTGTAATTCAGAAGTTAGTTTTAGATAGACGCTCTTCTTTTTATTAAAAACTTAAAAAACACGAAACAACTTTTCAAAGACATGTTTTGGCATAACTTATGCCATCTTCAGTTCATTCAGTCGTTGACATTTCAGTGCTATATTTATATACATCTGATAGGTAATTGATACTTCTTACTGAATCTATGATCTATGGTAACTAAATATATAAACAACTAACAAAGAGATAAACAATGTTATATAAACAATAAAAAACGGTAAATAACGGTAAAAGATTTAAAAGATGATGGTGTTGAGGGATTGAACTTGCGCGTTCAATTCCGGTTTTAAATTTTGATATAAATAGACTCCTTAACTTTGAGAAAGTATGCCGTTCTAGCAGAATGTAAAATTTTAAAGCAGTCATTTTATTAACTACTTTTACACGTTAAAGAGTTGTTGGGGTGTTTAAATACATGAGAATTTCTGTCAGTTAATGCGTGTATTTAATACTTGGGCGGAGGTGGCAAACTATAAAGTCGATTTTTCTCGTCGTAATCGACACAGCTTCAATCGGGCTCTACTGCTTCTGTGTTATTTTATGTTAAGTATAATTACACAACGTTTCACTGTCGTTATGACAACATTTTCAAGTGACGAAAAGAATCTGTAACATGACTAATTTATACGATGTGAGGTGGTAGAAATGACTAGCATATAGTGTTGTACTTAACATTTGTGCATGTTAAGTATGTTGAAATTGAACAAATAGTTTTGCGTGGGTAGAGTCCGATTAAGTGTTCAGGCTTGGTTTATTCTTTCTTATGAACAACATCTCATAAAATAGCAAAGGGGGTTAGTTTCTGAAGAACCTGTGGTGCTGCGTCGGTGGGGAAGTGAAACACGAAAATTTGATGAAATTGCGCCGATACAGTCGTCAATGTAACGACCGTAGAGTTCAGGTTTAGGACCGTCGTACTGATTGAAAAATTGGTGCTCTACGTATCCTACAAAAAGATTGGCGTAGCTGGGTCCCATTTTAGTGCCCATAGCTACACAATTCATTTGTTTTTAATAGTTGCCGGCGAATGAAAAACAGTTTAGTGTTAAGACTAGTTCAGCTAGGCGGAGTAGTGTTTCTGTGCTTGGTTCTGTAACAGTGCGTTGATCGAAAAAATATCTAAGTGCTTGAAGACCTTCGCTATTGGGAATGACGGTGTATAGAGATGAAATTCCCATAGCGAAAATTAGTTTGTCTTCACTGAGGAAATTGAAATCTCGGAAAATTTCAAGTGCGTGTTGACTGTCTTTAATGTATGTAGGCAAAGCCTTGACGATTGGTGTCATAATCTTATCTAAATAACTCGAAATAAGTTCAGTGGGACAACTACAGGCAGAAACAATAGGACGGCCCGGTTTATTAAGTTTGTGGATTTTGGGTAAAAAGAAAATACACGAGATTCTAAGGGTAGTGATTATGAGATTGGTACCAGTGGCCGGTAATTCTTGCTTGACTATAAGGTTTTGAATAGTGTGGTTGACAATTTTTTGTTTGACCATTCTAAAGAACACATGTCTATTTGCGGCCTTTCCCTACATCAGGACACTACAGACAGCCGTAATAATCTAGAGCAAAGATTCATTTTTCAAATCGGCACCCTTAATCTCCACGGCATCAACGAACGCTTTTCATTCAATTAATTTATTCCTGTTTTTCACGTGATCAAGTTCCCACCAATAGCGTAGCTCCTTCTGTATATACACTACCCACAATTCCTTGATTCGCTCTGACGAAGGGCTAACGCTCGAAACGTCAGCTTTTCAATCTCTCTACGGTGGTCATATTACATTATCAACTCCGTTGATAAATCAAATTTTCATCTCATGAATTAGACAGTCTAGTTTTCCGTTGCATTTCTTTAAGTCGGAAAAGGTACTTGTAAGGTCGCCAACAGTTTTAATTCCGTGGTCCTTCTTTAAATGCTTGCTGAAAAACGGGGCTCATCTATACGTTTGGAAGTGCCAGCTAGTATAACCGACATACTTTGCATCGTACAGATCACATTGATGATCATATACCACGCATTGTTCGTTAGTTAGAGGTGGTTAAGGTCTTCACTGATTTTGCGTCTTCTGATCACTGGTTGAAGAGTGTGATCGATTTTCTTATTCAGATTTGAGTAACAAAATACTTATCTCACTCATTTACATTCTTGAATTACTATTATTATTACTATTATAGCGGAGCTCCGGCAGCCCGAAGGGCCGCCAAGCGGAGCCCCATACTCATAGAAACCCGTCAACTGTTTTTCTCCTGGTAATCATGGCCAGCGGTATTGCTCGTTGGCGCGACCGCGCGACGACGACGACGACGTAGCACAATAATTAATAATATCCTAATGATAATAATAATAATAATCCAACATGGCGGCCATACTCCAGCTGACCGGCAGCTGACCTCCAGCTGACCACCCAGTTTACAGCAGACGTGTTTGATATTGGACATCCATGTTATGGTCAATTGACACCTGTCAAAACAAGGTATCCGCTGCCCAGTATCAGGTGACCATATCGCGGGCTCAAGTTGAGAGCTCATCGAGGTCAGCTGTTTTTTTGAAGTTGACCGCTGACCAGCTACTGGTTTCCTATTGGATCGCAGGTTTAAGCCAGGCCAAAACGGAGCTCCGCTTTTAGGCTTGGCTAAATCTATATATTAACTGATATTTACAAGGCTAAGAAATATTTTAAAAGTAAAAACCGAACGTTTTAGACCTGAAGTCATCTTCAGGCTAATGACTGTTGAATCATTAAACCTTCAAATATTCTGCGCTTATTAAAATATTATTATTATTATTATTATTATTATTATTGTTATGGTTAGGGTAGGGTTGGGGGCAACAAGTCAAGGAACTCTCTCGAAATTTCGACGTCTCCTAAACAGCAACTACGTTATATTTTTAAGTGGGGATTAACATTTCTTTGTCTATGGCGAATATTGCAGGTCAAACAGAAAGCTTGGACCAGAAATATGGAAAAACTGTAAAGTGAATGAGGTGGAAGCGCTTCCTTACCACGTTGACGGACTGTGTGTGTATAAGCTACCCTTCAAAAAGGATGTAATGATGCAAAGTTCGGCGGACGGAAGGCCCTGGGGCAGATGGAAGTGTTCAAACAGAAAGAACCTGAATGGAACACGCCGAGTAGCTGAGTGTGGTGGGACGTACGAATGCGTTAACTTGGCTTGTCCCTGTTTAAAGACTTACGGGCACAAGAACAACGTACAGCTCAAAAAGCTTCCTCCTGAAGTGGTTTGCTCTTGCTGTGGATATAGCGCGAAACCAATAGCTTGTTTTGCGAGAAAGATTTGGGAGTTTCCCGACGGTGCCAGCCATGTACTAGTTTACCACTATGGAACCCACAAATGCACGGCCATCAAACCAAGTATCGACGTTTCAAGTGAAGTGAACAAATTCTTTAAAGAAAACAGCTCTGCAAAACCTTCTCAATGTGCGTATGAGTCTTTAAAGCTACCCTTCATGACACAAAAGATGTTAAAGACGTGTACGAGAAAGCTTAGGGTTACGCAGACTACAAGAAGCTACAGAATGGCAAACAAAAATTCGTGGAGAGCATTAATCCTTTGGGACATTCTTTTGATGCCAAAGCGACAATAAAGGAAGCTGCTGATAAAGTGGAGAAGTTCCTAATATTTCGTGCAGAAGATGGCCGTCTTTCTGGAAGTGAAAACACGTTTGTCTTTAGGAGTAACCGCGAGAGAATGGAAATGATGTACCAAATGCAACAGGGTAGTGGATCTTCCTTGGCTGAGCAATACTGTTTTCTGGATGCAGAACATGACCGAGTACAGAATATGAAAACTATCAACTTGAGCGTGGAACATCCAGCCTTAAAAGAACTTGTCACTTTGGCAAGCATGGACTGTCAAAGTTAAAGCACCAATACACTTAGCGAGTTTTGGTCCCAGGTCAACAGTGCAAGTGTATGACTTGGTCGTTTACTGAAAAATGCATTTCGTTTCCTTATCTCACAGGTAGCGAAAAAATTAAGTGTAATGGACACTATTTCTTAAGTGCAACACCATTTTAAGAGGCTCAATAGCCTGGTTGTTCAAAACTAAGTCGAATTTTTTCGAAATGGCTTTCATTTTTCTGTCAGCAAAAGTAACTTTAAATTTCACACATGGTTTCTGAGAACTCCTGTCAACTGCACAAACGTTGTGGCCAAATCAATTTACCCGAGGTGTCGGGGCAATCAAAATTTCTACTAAATAGAGGAGAGAAGGGTGACATCTAATTTAATAAATAAAAAGTTAATTAATTCATTGATTAATGCATTTATTATCTCACAGGCTCTACGTGAATTTACCGGAGATCAGGGATACATCTTCGATCCAGAGGGCTTCGTAACAGACGAGCATGGAGGAAATAGAGAGCATCCGTAGAATGCATCCGTAGCATCCGTAGAATGCTTAAGCCCGGTGCAGTGGACAGAGCAAAGTCATGTGAAAACCACTTCTACGACTGTGGTCACAAGCAAGAAAGGAGAGATTGGAGCTCTGGCTCTAAATTAACTTTCAGAAAGATGTTGCACGAAATATATCACGCACCTACCCCTGGCGCAGTTGAGGCAAACAGAAGAAAACTAATTGACTGGACGGACAAAAAACAGAAAAACGAGGCCATATTAAATCCTGGTTCAACAAATTCTGGTTCAAAAGACGAATGCACGTATTCCGCGCCTTTAAGAGTGCAGACACGCCTAATACCAATATGGCAGAGGCAGGCCACTTGCGTAATGCCACAAGAGGTGCCAAAAATAAGTCGCTGGCCACAGTAGCCGAAGAACATATTGTCGAATCTGCTCTGCTGAAATCGAAATTAGAAATGCATGAAAGTGGAACCTACAAAGGGGGCCATTGCCCAACGCAACGTCAAAACACACAGCGACATTTAGAAGGCAGAGAGACCGAGCTGCTCAATTTGCGAAGGAGCTCGAAGCAGGAGACATCAATCCACGCCTTTACTCTACCTCATCCTTTGTTGACCCCTCTTCGAGTCACAGAGCACCGAGAAGAACAGGGATCTCTACAAGTGATGATATAGGCGCCTTAAGCGCCTTGTCTTCCTCAGAAAATGAAAGCACACAGGCAGAAGGACGAAAAACTGCTAGGTGAACGCTGGTTTCCATATCTCAAACCGCCCTTGGATACCTTGTGATGCCTACACAAAGTAATTGCTTATATGTATACATATATGAGTGAGCCCTGACTATAGTGATTAGGGTTAAGCACTAACAATACTGATTAGGGTTAAGCACTGGCCATACTGATTAGGGTTAAGCACTGAAAATACTGATTAGGGTTAACGGTTAGCTTTTATCTAGGGTTAGGGCTTTCGCTAAAGTAGTTAAATTACTCCCACTCCCTGTGGCGAATCCTTGGTGGTCTAGTGGTTAGGGCATGTGACTACTGATTTAGCACTCCGGGATCGATTCCTGCTCCAAAGTCGGATTTTGTGTTTCCTTTAAAATTGAAGAGACTTGCACTTTGACGACATTTGTTGAGCAGAAACTAAGTCTCTGAGTCACGAAACTTTGAAATTTCATGTAAGTGTAACTGAAAAGGGAGAGGGCGGTTTGAGATATGGAAACAAGTGCTTACCAAACTGCTAAGGCTTCCTTCAGAAAACGAAAGGGAAGAAGCAAAGTGTTCCAAAAGTCGCTCTCGATGGCTAAGCGAACAAAGTCAGTAACGTGGACGCAAATATATGATGCCGGGCCTACAAGAAAGGTGTTCGAACTGCCAGACGGTGGAAGGATAAGATTAGTAGAGATAAGCGAAACACCTACTTATGACTGTGTCATGGTCTCTTCCAGAGACATATGCATGCATGTCATATGGGTCATGCTGAGAAAATTGAATGTCAACGAAAATGACGACATTATTCAGCAAAAATCGATTCCAGTTAACCGGGTCAAGAGGCTTCTGAGAAGTGAAGAGCATGCCGTAAGCAGTGGGGTCACTGCGAGTTCGACTAGTGGAGTCTCCGCTGCAACTACAGCTTTACCACCTGCGACAGGCACAACAGCCATCAGTGGAGGTTTCTTCCACAACATTGGAGTCTCCACAACGAACATTGCTATACCACCTGCGGCAAGTACAACAGCCATCAGTGGAGGTTTCTTGCCATACGGTGGAAGCTCCATAGCGAGCAGAGCTATATTACTTTCAGCAAGTACAACAGCCATCAGTGGAGGTTTCTTACCAAACAGTGGAAGCTCCACAACGTGCAGAATTTTACTTCTGGCGGCAGGTACAACAGCCATCAGTGGAGGTTTCTTCCACAACATTGGAGTCTCCGCCACGAGCAGAGCTCTGCCACCTGCGGCAAGTACAACAGCCATCAGTGGAGGTCTTTTACCAAACAGTGGAAGCTCCACAACGTGCAGAGCTTTACCACCTGCGGCAGGTACAAAAGCCATCACTGGAGGTTTCTTGCCAAACAGTGGAAGCTCCACAACAAGCAGAGCTCTACCACCTGCGGTAAGCACAACAGCCATCAGCAGTGGATTCTCTAACAATTTCACAAGTGAAGGTCTCTTGCCAAACAGTGGCAGCTCCACAACGAGCACAGCAATACCAGCACCCTATCCACACTTTCCTCCCCATGTCTATCAAAGTCACGAGAGGATGCCTTGGCACAACAGCAACCCATTTGTAATTGTCCCAATTAACAATAGGATAAAGAAATGTGCAGGATGCCCATTTGAGTTTTTGGACGCCAGTGGTCCTACCTTTACTGGTTTGGTTGTTCGCCATTGTGAAAAGGACTTCTACATAGACAAAACTGGGCATCAGATGGTGGGAAGAGAAACCAACAGATATTACCACTGCGAAAATGGATGTCTATTAAATAGGCATCCATACTTCAGCCCCGCTCTGATACGACTCGAACCAGGACTGAAGTTGAATTCCTTTCAACTAAATCATTTGCAGCGTGCTCTGCATGTACAGTTCCAGTGACAGTTATCAACAGAATAATCGTTTTTTTTTTTTTCAACAAATGAAACGGTGCATGCAAATTCATTGAAGCGGTTAGAACAAATCAATGCCTAATATAAGTTTTAGAAATACCTCAGGAACAAAAATGCATTATGTAAGTTTTAATTTCGGTCGCGATCTTGGAGAATTGCACAGTCTATTGACAATTTTTTTTAATTCTTGTATTGCGCGGGACTTGTGTCCAGGTTTAATTCGCGTTGTCCTCTACAGATCGTTTTCACTCACATGGTCATATGGCCGCCGTGACGTCATTTGAAAACCATCTGTTGTTCAAATTGTTCCATATTGCGACTACCCGGGAAACATTTGGAAAATTGAAGGCAATTTTTAGGAATCCAAAGGGGGAGTCCTAACTGCGGGATCTTAACTGCGATCTTAACTGCGATCCTAACTGCGATCCTAACTGTACCAATAGTTTAGGACCACCACGCTATTGTGTCCTCTGATTTCTGGGAGATGGAACATAACGATGACTGTTTTAGTCATTTCGAAAAAACTGTGTAATGAAGCCAAGTGCATCTCTGTCCGCCATTTTGCGTAAACGGTAACGTATTGGGACATGCGCGAGGGATCACTACTTACGCTTCCGCTATGGGCTTTAAACGTTTTCCGTGGTGTACACAAACTTTTGCCCTGAAGTTAATAGACTTTTGTCGTCGTGTTTTTAAATATTTGTTATGATGTTAACACATTTTGCCGTGTTGTCATCATATCTTCTTGACGTTGATTTTAAAACTAAATGTTTCTTACAGTAAACTCTAAGAGACAGAATTAAATTGATTTTAATGGAATTTGTTTTTGTTTTGTGTATTCTTAAAACTTTTGCCGTAATACTTGTGGGCCACCGTATCTCTGCTAACAAAGTGCTTAGTTGAATTATTTTTGTCTAAAATACATTAAAACAACTCTTTTTTGCAGGTCCCTCTCCCACAACAAAATTGAAAGGTTCCCACCTGACATATTCTCAAGTCAATATATGCTGAATAGTTTGTAAGTTCAATTTTTTATTGTTGTTTTTTTATTGTTAAGAAAAATGACTTCAACACTACGTTAGTACTACGAGTAAGATATACACAGTTAGCAAAGGATGTAAACGGGCAGACTTGATTATCAAGCCTAAGCAGCTACAACGCCGACGTCCAAAAACCGGAAGTTTGGTTTTTCGCTTGATTAAAGGCTTAGAGACTTCTGATTTACAAAAGGATTAAAAGCTACTGATATTTTACTCGTGTAGTATAAACTTATTGAGTCAGACCGCTTAAAGCGAGAAAAATCAACTTCCGGTTATTTGAGACCTACGGAACCTCAACGTTATTCGTTGCTTAAGCTCGCTATAAACTACACATCCGAGTAACATACTACAAACATAGGAGCCTATACGGGTATTGGTAGCATGCAAGGAAAAAGGATACATTCAAGTTATGCAATGCTCTCGAGTGGTGTACTGGTGAAAGATCCCACTAGTGACTTGATATTTGTTAGAAAAACCTTTTGGAAACCACCGCCGAGATGTTTTTCGGATCGGATGGATCATCGCGCAGAATTCTATTGTCTTGAGCGGCATGTACTTACAGTGCCCACTTTCTCAATGCGCAGCATAATAATTGAGTAAATAAGCTTTCGGAAAGCCAGCTAAATGCCGGCTACTCTTGTCAAAGATTCGGTAGCTTTCAATCAAACGGTTTGATGCGTGAAGCGTGAATCTCTATTGTAAATCTCTAGGTGTGAAAGTGAGTACGGTAATTGCACTTTAATTAAAGGCGGGCCACGCGTAAAAAAAAATTTATTCGCGTGCAACTTTTTAGATTGTCTTCGTATTAGGCTTTTGTACTTTATGCTTTTGCTTCCCTACTAGAATGCTCCACCTTAACGCTCCATTTTTCCCACTTAAATGCTCGGTCTCCCCCAAAAAAGTCACTAAAATGCTCGGATAATGCTCATTATACTAACGGATTTTTTTAAATTAATTTCAAATTTTACACTCACAAAAACGTGCAAGTGTTGCAAGTAACAACGACAACGTGTACAAGTTCATAAAAACAGCCCCCCAAAAAGCTGTATTAGGTTTTTTTTTCGTGAATTTTGAGTTTTAGTCTTCATTTTCTTTAAAAAAGCAGGAGCTCATGGGGCATGGGCTCCTGAAAAAAGCTAATTTCTATTTTATTTTCTCGGAAAAAAAAAAAAATTTCCGGAGAAAATGCCACTAAAATGCTCGAATAATGCTCAATGCTTTTGCCTCACTAAAATGCTCGAAAAAATGCCAGCATAGAACAAATGTCTTTGCACCATCTTCTTTGGACATCCTAAGGCGAGTGCTGCTCCCTCCCTATTTTAAACTCCTAACAATCCTTAAATAAGATAATATATATCTAGCCGGATTTTTGATAACGTTACCGCCAAATAGACCTTTTGCGTCCAACGATTTTTTTTCGGCCAAGAACGATCTCCAAAGTAGCTATTATAAAAACTAAGAGTGTAACCATTGTTTTTTTTTTCTTCCCTTCCTTTCCTTCTCCTAGCACTCTCTTTTTCTCCTTTCCTTTTCCTTCGTTACCGTGATTTTGGAGCTTCTCGGGCGTAAGAAACCTGGGTCTTAGTTTCGTGTGGTTTGTAAACCGGATGTTGGAGCTATAATGTTATTGGTGTGATCATGGCAGCGTAAAAACAAGAACAAATTTGCGTAATAAAAAGCATTTATTAATTCCGTGCGGATATTCCGTGTTGCCTTGGTTAATGGAGAGATTGTAAATTGTCATGATTTAACTGGAATTATTGGCGAGATTAAAATGACGAGGTACTGGTTTCGATAAGTACTTGTCGTACCCACGGATAATAGAGAGACTAGATAGGAAAACTAGCTGTCGTTATAGGTTCCAAAATAGTGAAAAATTGTGACGTCACACTATCTAGAGCCATCCAATTTTTTGCGCGTTATTTTTCCTCGTAAAAGGCCCTGCTCTGGACTACAAAAAAATTGCCTATGTTTTGAAGAAAAGGGATAAAGAGAATTGGAAGTGGAAAAGACAGAGGATTATAAAACTGCCAGTAAAGGCAGAAGACAGGGTAAATGATTATAAAACAGAGTGAAAAGGATTTCCAGCGTCCGATGATTAAATTCACCAAAGCGCGAAGCCTAACTAAGTCTACCTACATGATAATAGCGGGGCTCCCGCGCGCGCGAAGCGCGCGTGGGACAGAGCCCCATACCCATGGAATATGGTCAACCTCTTTTCGTTTGGTTGTCACGTGATTGACCGAGCGTACGTACGTACGTACGCGTCTACAGATTGTATGGGTGGGGTAGGGGAGACTATCAAAAGGAAGGGAGGGGTGTCTCAGGCGTGTCTTGGCAAGTCCACATCTTTAATATAGGACATTAACAATATGGTCAATTGACAGCTGTCCAAACAGGATAGCCACTGACCAGTATCCCATGACCATATCGCGGGCTGATGTGTCAACTCATCGAGGTGACGTGATTTATTTGGAAGCTGTCCGCTGACCAGTTAACTGTTTTACTAGATCGCGAACAACGTTCAATCTCATACTTTTACTAGTTTGGGAGCACAGAAAAACTGATAATGCACACATATTGGACATCAATGTTTTGATCAATTGACAGCTGTCAAAACAGAGTACCCGCTGACCAGTATCACTTGACCGTATTGCGGGCTCAGGTGTCGACCCGTCGAGGTCAAGTATTTTTTGAAGTTATCCGCTGACAAGTAAACTAGTTTTCAAGTGATCGCAGGCTCAAGTTCAATTTTTTTTCTTAATTCATATGAAATATGTTGTGTTTATGTGCTGCAGAATTAAAATTTTGATTGCAAACTGACCTCTGATGTGAAAATTCAGCCAGCTGTTACAGGCAGGGAAGACAGTTGCTTTTGTTTTTTCTCACAATGGTCACGCGTTGGTCACGCTCTACGTCCAATTTTTATGCTCTGATTGGTCAAAATTTGACAGGTGAGTTCATGCGCAAAATTTATGCAGCATCTTGAATCTTGTTTACTTTAACAGCTGAAGCTGACAGAGTTTTGTGTCAACTTGTGATGTTTTTAACTGTCTTTTTCCACTGGATGTACAAAATGAAATTCAGCTGCTATCAGGAGTCTTCTGTTACTCATGGCTAGTTTGTTTATTGGGTTTTTGGTTGAGAAAACGTCGCTTGTCAAAGTCGGAAATCCGATTTCGGATGGCATCGTTTTCGTTTTCACCTTGCTTGATGCGTAAGAGGATTGCAAAGTCTGAAGCGATACTGGCTTTACCTGATAACTTTCAGGAGCTGCATCTCGAATGGTAAGCCAGAGAAATTATTGTATTTCATGTTTGTTTTTTGTATCTAATTTAATGAAGTGGAGCGTAGTTTATGCGGGAATTTAGTTTATGCGCTTTTGTAAGATTTGAGACAACGATCTCACCGAGTATCTGGTTTGATATAATCTTACAGAACTTTAAAAAGCCTTTAGACAGTTTCTCACCGCAAATAGAAAGAAAATGTTCCAAAGAATCTTTAGTTATAATTCTAGCCGGAAAAGAAAGCTTTGAGCGATTTTGTTGCCTCGAGATCGTCTTTGAAAAAACAAACACCGGGAAGCTGGCTTAAAACATAAACTTCAGCAAACTTAAGCTTGAAGCTTGAAGATTCAGGATATTTAGGGACACTTTAATACTTGTCTTCCTGAATGAAAATTGTTGTCTCTGTTTATGTTTCACCGAATTATATTTCTTTTATTGATTGTTAGTAGTCTCTCTTGCAATTTTAATCGCTATGCCGATTGTTTTCAGTCGTTCAGTGAACATCGCTTGCAGGAGTTCTCAAAATGCCGCGCGTTAAACCATCAAATAAAAAATAAACATGATAATTCTTTATTATCTTGGAGCGTAACTCTGTTAATGTTCATTCAAACACTCGCTACAGCTCGCACTACAAAAGTGAGAACCGGATGGCCGTATAGGTG